CATGAGTTGAGTGAAGCACTTGCAGCATGGGCTGAAGAAACCAAGGCCAAAACTGAAGCATATAAGGCAAAAGCTGAGAGATATGAAGGTGAGAGTAAGGAGGCCACTTCTTCTTCTTCATCGGATTATTCTCTTGCTGAGTGTGGGGATGCTCTTGATGAGATTGAGGAGATAGTGGAGTATGGTGCAGATCCAGAAATCAGATATATGAATGCCTTGAAAGCTTTTAAGAGAGACCGTACGTGAATGGAGAGAAATTTTTCTTACCATGAGTTTTCAGAAGAGAAGGATATGGCTACGTAATGCTGAACATGGACTTTTATGAGTCTTTATTTTGTTATTGAACCTTATGATATTATGTCATTAAACTTGTGAGTTTGTGCGCCGGAGAGATCTTTTGAGCCTTTATTCTGTTGTTGAACTTTACGGTTATGTCATTAAACTGATGGGTTTGTGTCTTTATTCTGCTATTCAACATTGTTTATAATCTTTTATAGAATATTTGTTTGAAAACATGTTGGTATGGAACTTTATTTTTAACTTTAATTTTATATGTCTTTTTATAGAATAATTCTATGTTTCTAATTGGTTCAAAAAATTAAAAAATAAATCAAACAAGTTTTTAGTTTTTTTTTTAATTTCAAAACGTATTCTTAAAAACAAATAATGTTACCAAGCAGGTTTTATTGCTTTCTTAATTGTAAACTATTTTGAAATTAACATTACCAAACAAGCCTTATTTTTATTTTGTTTCACAAGTAGTTTTTTAAAATCATTTTACAAAATAAATTAAAAACAAAAACCTAAAACAAAATCAAACCGGCCGGGCTTAAATATTTCATCTTGCATTCCTATTTTATGATTTCCAACTTTTTTTATGAAATATTTCCAACTAATGTTACAAATTTTACAACTGATATAGACAACCAGATCTAGAATTTGATAAATATAATGAAGAAACTAACTTTTACATATATATGACATGTACAATGAGTTTCCTTTTTGTTTCCCACATGGCTGATAGTCATAAAATTAATTTCTCAAAAAATTTTATTGTCATTTAAAGAATTGTTTACTCTCAAGCGATACTCTCTATGTACACATTTAGAAATCAAACCTCGAAAATAATTAAGGACCCCAACTGCTACCTTGCCGCACTCACTTGGTACATGTACAATGAGTTGTTATTATTATTATTATTATTATAAGTGCTCCCACATGTCTGCATACCCTGTTACGTATTTGTAGTTTAACCAAGATAACAAATATAGAAGAAGAAAAGTAATGGGAAGTTTTTCTTTACTTTACAGTGCCGGCCTGATTTGCAGAGGAAATAGAGAAAAGAGATTGAACAAATAAAGGAGTTGAATGAGGTGAAGAAGACGAGGAATGTAACATAAGAAAGAGGGATTTTCGGGCTTGTTTGATTTTTATTTTCATCTTTTATTTTTAAAAACTATTTTATAATATAGTTTTTAAAATTATTTTTTAAAATAAAATAAAATAAAAATCCATTTGATTATGTCAATTACATAATAGATTTAAAATTAAAAAATGAACTTATAATGATAGTTATAGGCATTTAACAATGAGAAATAATAATAAAAATTGACCAAGGTAATTATAATTTTTAATAATCAAATGTAGTATATTTTAAAAATAAGAAAAATAAACAAAAATAATTTGAAGTTGTTTCTATTTTTTATTTTTAAAAACAAAAAATGAAAATAATTTTAAAAATAATTAAATAAAAAACACATACCCAAATAATCAATTTTTAAAATTTTCTGTTTTTAAAATAAAAATAAATTTTAAAAAACAGAAAACAAACATGCTCTTCAACTTTTTTTCCCCTACAATGAAGAGAGGACGAGGAAGATGGAAAGATGATAGGGAGAACAAAGACAATTTTGTTCGAGATGACACCCTTTTTTCTTTTGTATTGCTTACAAATATGTGTTTTACAGTGAGAGTGACTGCGACTGTGGAAACTGGCAGTGGCTTTGACAGTTTTGACTTTGAACGAAGAAGAAAAGCTTTGACGGCTAGAGAAGAAGACGAATGGAAAATGAGGAAGTCAGTGAAAGCACGCAAATGAAGAAAGAAGGAAGAAAGATGGGAATCGGATTAGCATAAGACTACTAGAGGAGCGTTTAGGGCTTTTTTTGGGAAGAGAAAAAGATGGAGAGAGCATATGTAACTATCATAATTTTTTTAATTATAATATAAATTTTTTAAACAGGCTTTATCAGAGCAAAAACCATTTTAGTCCCTTTCAAGCCAAGCCTTAGATCTCATAGCTTAGTCAAGATGTGAGCCATGGAGCTCGAAATTGAGTCGATACTGTTCACAAGAGATATTTTAATGGAACAGATTTTAATAATATATTGATGATTTGTAAATTTTTTCTTCTTCAACAAATATAAATTATATAGAGTATGTGAAATAAATGAAAATTTTGTTATAAATAAATAGACTTTAAATATTATTTACAAAGTTTTTGCTATAAATTTCATTCAAATAACTTGTAAATTTCTTTTCTTTCAACAAGTATAAACCACATGAATTGTGTATGTCAAATTAACTGATGTTTTGTAATTAACAAATAAAATTTGAATGTTATTTATGAAAGTTTCTTTGTAAATATCATTTAGGTGACTTGTAAATTTATTCTCCTTCAACAAGTGTAAACTATATCACATGAATTATGTAAAATGAATGGACATTTTGTTATTAATAAATACACTTTGAATGTCATTTATAGATGTCCTATTGTACATTTTATGAAGAAACTAGATGGTTTCCTATGCATTGCACAAGTCAGATTTAAAAAATTTGAAACAAACACCTCGGATGTTATTTATATCGACACATTTAAGATTGTTAAATTTTTTAAAGTGCCTTTATTTAATCATTTTCCTTCTTATTGAATATTTTGTTCATATATATCTCGTCTTTGTTTCTCAAGCCTATAATAAATTACAAATATAGTTTGAAAAAATCAAATTTTTGATGATTCCATCATATATAATTATGGTGCAAAAACTTCTGGATAAGTATCCTTTTATTTTTTTTTTAGATGATGCAGAAATTGTGAATTATGTACTTTTTTATATTTGAAATATCTAAAACACAATTATATTTCTCATTTTGATTTCATGTTTATAACATATTGTCAAAAAAATTATAACACAAATGTTTTTTCATTAAAATTATATATAATTATATCTCTAATAACTTAAAAGTAAGAGAATTAATCTTTGTAAATTGTTAAGGTTTGATACAAGAAAATTGTAAGTAATAATATAAATATAACCAAGTAATATAGATAAACACTCATCAACAATATGAAAAAGTTCTACAAATCGATACATTTTTATACCATTTTGTATTAGTAAGTACAAGATAATTTTCTATCATCCAGTACAAGTGACAACAAAGATGCTCGTCAAGAGGTACAACAAACTTCTTCAAATACTCAAACCCATGCCATTGGTACCTCATGAAAAAGCTGAGATAGATTGAGTTACTGCTCTCATAAAACTTAAATTTTATATTTAAAATTTAACAATGAGATACATGAATTCTTAAAGATAGATATTGGAGAATACTGAGAGATGCGAGATAAATGAAAAGGCTGAGACAGATGGAGTTATTGCTCCTGTAAAACTTAAATTTTATATTTAAAAATTTAATAATGAAATACATAAATTCTTAAAGATAAAGATGGGAGAATATTGAGAGACACGAGATAAATGAAAAAGCTAAGACGAATGAACTTACTGCTCCTGTAAAACTTGAATTTTATATTTAAAAATTTAATAATGAAATACATGAATTCTTAAAGATAGAGATGGGAGAATATTGAGAGACGCGAGATAAATGAAAAAGCTAAGACGAATGGACTTACTGCTCTCGTAAAACTTAAATTTTATATTTAAAATTTAATAATGAGATACATTAATTCTTAAAGATAGAAACTAGAGAATATTGAGAGATGCGAGATAAATGAAAAAAATGAGACTAATGGAGTTACTGCTCTCGTAAAACTTGAATTTTATATTTAAAATTTTACATAAATTCTTAAAAATAGAGATTGAAGAATATTGAGAGATGTAAGATAAATGGTAAAGATGAGATGGATGGAGTTATTGCTCCTGTAAAACTTAAATTTTATATTTAAAATTTAATAATAAGATACATCAATTCTTAAAGATAGAGACCGAAGAATATTGAGAGACACAAGATAAATGAAAAGGCTGAGACAGATAGACTTACTATTCTTGTAAAACTTAAATTTTATATTTAAAATTTAATAATGAGATACATGAATTCTTAAAGACAGAGATTGAAGAATATTGAGAGATGCGTGATAAATAAAAAAATCTGAGATTGATGGAGTTATTGCTCTCATAAAACTTAAATTTTATATTTAAAATGTAATAATAAAATTATAAATTCTTAAAGATAGAGACGGAAGAATATTGAGAGACACGAGATAAATGAAAAAGCTGAAATGGATGGACTTTCTGCTCCCGTAAAACTTAAATTTTATATTTAAAATTTAATAATGAGATACATAAATTATTAAAGATAGAAACTGAAGAATATTAAGAGACATGAGATAAATGAAAAGGCTGAAATGAATAGAGTTACTGTTCCTGTAAAACTTAAATTATCAGTGACCTTCTTCAAGATTTGTATATATATATATATATATATATATTGATGATGAGTGATAGTTCCATCTTTTTATCAAAAAAAAAAAAAACAATAACCGCAAGATAAAATTTTAGGCCTATAAAACTATATCAAATTTTATTGGGCCTTCATTGAAAATATGTTGGTCCACGGGCTTGCAATGAGATTCTCAAGCAATATAGTAAAGCTGTTTTGTTTTTCATTTTTAACTGCTTTTTTTTATTTCCCACTTGACGACACTCTTTTTTCGCTTTTATTAATGGATGGCATAATAGTAATTATAGACACAACTTTATGGCTTTTAAGTCCCGCTGCTCGATCAGTTTCTCTGACGACTCTCTTTTAGTTTCTCTCGCAGCTCTCTTCGCGCCTCCATCGCTCTCGTCGCTAGCTGAACCTGCTCTCACTTTCGTGTTCCGGTGACGGTGAGGTATGTTATCTCTTTTACTCTCACTCATTCTCAGCTTCGTCTTCATCTCTTAGATCTTGCTTCTTTTCATATTTGGGAATTCATTTGTCCTTTTCACCGAAAGGAAGAAATGCTTTCTGTGATCTGGGAATTAGTTTCAAATATGATGAATTGGGAAATTTGAATCTGTGCGATCGTTAAGATCGGTGTAGGTTGGGCTTTCTATGATCATGGTCTTGCTTCTAGGCTTAGGGTCGTTTTTTTTTTTTTTTTTTTGTGAGGAGTCCCATACTTATCTTCCGTACTCTCGAACTTCACTTCTGCTGGTTTATTTTGAGGGATGAACTTAATAACATGGGACAATTTCTATGCTCTCTGGATTTGTTATCTACTAAGCACTAACAGTGAACACCGTAATACTAATGTGTATAGAGTTTGATTGGACTCAGTTAAGTTATTGATGGTGACAAAAAGATGTTGATATATAGAGTTTGATTGGACTCAGTTAAGTTGTTGATGGTGACAAAAAGATGTTGATACTTCACATCATGCAATTCTGGTTTTAATCATTTGTAATCTTATGCCCTATTTGTATTGTTTGGTACGGTGGATCTCTGTTTTTCCCCCCAAGAGAATTCATTTCCATCAAAATTGGTTGAACTTACTTCCATTTAGTCATAGAAGATAGAACCCACCTTTTCTGTTACTTCCTTCATGACAAAATGACCTTCTGCCATGTACCAAATATATTTTAAACTGCATTTCCACCTCACTCTTACTTCCATGTGATCTCCTTCAATGTTTGAAAATAGTGTGTTAAAAAATATTAGCTTTGACTATTAATTGATCTAGAAAATTATATAAATGGACCTAAAAAATTATTGAAAAAGTATCCTCTAAAAAAATTAATATCAATTAAATTCTAAAAATAGCGCAATAATTTACAGCTCTTCTTCCAAAACTTACAAATAATGTTATTTATAAATGAACGCATTTTGTACTAACTGTAAATTTTTAAAGGAGGATTTATAAAGTTTAGTAAAAGACTTACTCCCTCTGTTAAAAAATATAAGGCATTTTTAATCAAATCTCACCCCGCTAATAAACTAATTACTTACTTTTCAATTAATCCTATCTTTTCACATTTACCCCTATTAAACATTCTATAATAATTATAAAGTCATTATCAATAGGGACACTTTTAAAAAAAAAACAATAATTATACCTCAAAAAATCAAAAATGCCTTATATTTTTTAACAGAGGGAGTACAAATTATCACACTATTTAAATTTTTTATAGCGTATCTATGTGTAATTTTTTTTTTTTGGTAATTTTTAAGTCAATTAACGATCAAAGTTAACTTTTTTTAATAGAAGGGTGCACCATTTTTAAATGTTGAAGGAAAAATTATGCTACATGTAAGTTTAAGAAACCAAACTCTCCCAAATGATTAGTTGAGAGGCAAAAATGCCTTATAACCCATGAATTTATTTTTATTTTGTTCTAGTTGCCTCCGCGGGCATATAATCAATAAAATTATTTTGTATTTTATATTTTATCTTTTCGTATATGTCCACACATGTTTCTCAACATTTTCATATTTGTTACTTCAATTTTATGTCCATATTATCCCTTTAAACCCAATAAAATTATTTTGCATTTTGGGGCTAACTGTTCTTATGGTAGATGGAAGAAACTGATTCAAAGATGTGGCCAGAGTTAATAGCTAAGGCTTTTGTAGACATCTTGGCTAAAAATCAAATGAGTGAAGCACTTGTTGCAGCATGTGCTGAAGCATCCAAGGCAAAAGCTGAGAGAAGTAAGGAGGCCACTTCTTCGTAGGATTATTCTCTTGCCAAGTGTGTGATTGCTCTTGAGGAGATGGGGGACGATGCAGAAGATTGTTTTATGGAAGCCTTGAAAACTTTGAAGAGCGACCTTGAATGGAGAGAAATTTTTCTTACCCTGTCTTATGACAAGAAAAAGCGATGGCTACGTCTTGTTGAAAATAGATGGTTGTGAGTATTTTGTTATTGAACTTTATGATTATGTCATTAAACTTATGAGTAGTTTGTGTTGGTGATGAGGCTTTATGGCCCTTTTTTCTGTTATTGAACTCTATGGTTATGTCATTGAACTTACGAGTTTGTGTCTTTATCAAACTTTGTAGCACGTAAATTTTAACTATCTGCGCTGAAATTGAGATTAACTACAACCGAATTAAGCATGTTCAGTCTATCTGAGTTGCAGTGCTCAGCTATCACTCTCTTTCTCCGATAAGACATTCTATCGAACATCTTAAGTGCATACATTTTATGGCTTGAGGGTTTGATTTGTTTAAGACAGAACAATCACCAAATTAAAATCTAATCTAGTAACAGTAGCCAAGGAAGCCAAATCAAGCATGTGGAGGGAGAGGAGATGAATTACTTACTTCGGAGGAGGAGGAGGAGAGCCGACGCTGCTGTGAATGTAGAAGAGTGTCTCTGCGATTATGGCCGTGGATGTCGAGAGGAATGATGGGAATGTGGGGTGGGGTGGGTCGATTTCAGAGAGACGAAGGGAAGAAGAAGAGAAGAAGTTCGTCATGAGTGAGCGACGCGCGAGAGGTGTTCTCTCTGATAAAAGGTTCTCGATTAAACCTCTCTGTGACGGTTTGAGCTTAAACTACCAGATACACAAGGCCAAGTTCTACAGGTGCTCAAACCTTCAGTCACACTCTTTTTTCTTTTTGTTTTTACGGTTTGTGCTTCACCACTTTGACCAATGTTAAGAATACTACACCGGTCATTCAACAACAAATCAAGACATTAGACGGTCGGGCTGTGGCATGGACCGTGATCTAACTAATTATGAATAAATTAATATATTTTAAATATTATATGTTGAGAATAAAAATAAATAATCATATATAATAATAAAAATAAATGTTTAAGTTTCAAGAAAAAAATAATATAAATAAAAAAAGATAATATCTATTAATATTCCATCATTTTGATTCAAAATATATATACCTATTTCACAATTTATAATTTACAACTTTAAAATATACTCAGTCCATTTAAAAATATAAGGCATTTTTAATTAAATTTTACCTTCTAATAAAATAATTACCTATTTTTTAACTAACTCTATATTTTCATATTTACCTCTATTAAATATCCTACAATAAATATAAAGTTATTTTCAATAGGGATACTTTTGTAAAAAAACTAATAATTATACCTCAAAAGACTAAAAATGCCTTATATTTTTTAACATTTAATTTATCAAAAAATGTCTTATATTTTTGAACGGAGGGAATACATGTGTGTAATTCATACATATTTCTTCAATATTTACTCATTTTTCTTCACTTTGCAATGTTTATTAGGTATAAACATGTATAAATTATAGTTTAGTAATATAAATTAAAATTTTAAAAATTAAAAAAAATAAAATGTCTGATTTAGTTGGGTTACACACTGGTTCTATAGACATTGACTCGTATGAGGCCAGTCACAATTGAGGTCAGTTCCCAACTTAACTAATCGAACTAACCAATTTGATCTGATTTTCATAACATTGACTATTATATGCAAACCATCAAATAGATTGTTAAAATAATTTTTGCCTTTAATTATTTGGCAGTTCTCGTGATAACCGTCAAATGTGCTACCATCAAATAAGCCCAAATCTAAGGTAGCATATGGAACTTTGTTAATAAACAATGGGGTTCGCCTTCGATGCTCAGTAAGTTGCTGAGCACCGAGGTGCTCATCCATCAAATAAAATATGGGCCATTCAGATTAAATTTGGATGGCCCAGATTTTTTTTAATTTTTATTTTTATTTTTAATTTTAATTTAATTTTATATTTATTAAAATAAAAATTTATAATTTTTTTATAAATAGGTTCATCATCAATTTGGATAGTATTAGTTTAATTTAAATAATCTAATTTAATATTATAACCTTTTAAATTGACTATCTACATGTACTTTGAACAATTCATATTCGATATTAAATATTTATCTACAAGGTCTAAATTTAAATTTTTTTGATGGATACAATGTTAAAAAATAAAATATATAATTTTTAATTATAGCTTTTTAAAAATATTTAAAAAATTATAAGTAAAAAATTTTAAATCTGGACTATACAGAATACATTTGAATAGTCAATATATAAAAATTTAAATATTAATTAGACCCCTTAAATTAAATAGAGAGTGGATTAATCAAAAAGAATATTTATTTGAAAATTTTTATAAATTTTTATTTTTAAAAAATATAAAATAAAAATATTAAATTATTTCTTTAAATATGGACCATCTCCAAATTGCATCACCTTGATGAGCAACCAAGATGGTTCCATAAACAATATTGTGTTTGGATCGATGAGAATTTAGATTTTACCAAATTCCTTATTTTGATACTCAAAAATTTATAGATTGATCTATTTCTTATTATAATTGCATTTTAATTTCAAATTATTTCTATATTCTAGTGATTTAAAATTTCATTCATTTCAAATCTCTCATTCTCTTTGTGTTTTTTTTTTTATTATTATTGTTAATGTCTTTTCCACTCTTAAATCTTTTCTCACTTCTTGTTCTTATTTTTTATCAATTGAAAAATTGAAGTAAGCTTGTCACTCTTAATTCTTCATTTTGAATATTAATTCGTTTCTTTCTTTCCCTTAACATTTTTTAAACTTTCCAAACAAGATTTTAAATATAAGAACTTTAAATGTGATATTTTAAATCTAAAATTCAAATTAAAAATTACCATTTCAAACATTACCTTATAAAATATTTCTAAGTTGCTTAGTTATTGTTTAATTTGTTGAACCAAGGAACATAGAAATATTCACCAATGATCAAGCATACTATCATATGCATTATCCTCTTAAAATGCAATTTTTTCTTTGGAATACAACAGCAACCTTTTAAAATCCTTCACTAGGATTTTCTATGTTCAAATGGTTCTCATTGTATTTGGGCTTCTTGGACGTCCAAGATCTTTACAATCATAATTCAGCAACCCAAAAACAAAAAAGAAATATAAGTGGGCCGAAAGCATGCAAACCCTTTCATATTTCAATCAGTGCTATAATTCCTATATTTACCAATTAAATTTTGGCAATAGTGATAAGGATCTTCATCACTTAAATAAATAATTAAAAATACAAATCTCAAATACTATATATATATAATAATTGAGTTGGAAGTGGAATTTTATCAGACTTGTTTTTATTTGATGAACGTTTGTCAATGGTCACAGCAAATTAAATTGCAACCTTCACTTTACCACTCTACTCCTCAACTTACTCTCTAAATTGTGGTGTTGAAATACCAAATCACTACTACAAACAAAACACTTTTAACATTACTTTTTTAAATCTTTTCATGTCATTATTGAAGGGATATAATATCACAAAACATGAAAAGTTAGATTATCCACATCACTTTTAAAAGAAATATGGATAATAGTATCAATGTCAGTTCTTTAAGCTAAAGTGACGTAGACAGTAGGCTTTTCACATAACTTTTCTTTAAAAACTAAAAAGTTTGGCCTTTTTTAAGAAAAAATAGGACATTTTAAAAAGATTGGCATTTAAAAAAAAATTGGGTAATTACGAATATACTTCATAACTTTCCCTCTTTTTTATTATGTTCTTGTATTTATATTATTAACCAACATTCTTTTTAGTTTCTCACATTTATATCTCTATCTACTACAAAATCAGTAATAAAAATAATATTATCTTTCTTGGCTGAATGAGTGCAAAAATGTTCAGATTTGAATTTTTTTAAAAAATTAAGGGATGCAAGAGTAATATTTTTTGGGGGAGGGGGCAAAAGACAATTGTTTGGAGGGGCAAGTGAAATTTTCCCCTACCACAACTAAGACATGACATTGGTATCCTACAATCATGGTAAAAAATAGTAAGAATATTGTTTTGATAAATATATGCATATGAAAGTAACCAAATATATGTGAAAAGAAAAATAATGATAACAATTTACTAAGCAGAGTGTGAGAAATAAAAAATATGGTAGTGAAAAATGATAAGCATGATTATTTTCACCTTTTCTCCTTCAATTTTTTTGTTAAATATCATGTCAAGGACTGCAAAAGAAATTCATAATACTTTGATCCTTTTTCATAATTAATATGGTATAAAAGGTCCTTCAATGTGATTGTTCCAAAGATCAAAGGTGGGTTGGGAATGTATAAACATTAGAGCAATATTGCTCCAAAAGTTTAAAAAATGGTGTAACTTCCTATTGTAATGTTTGATTAAGTTTAATTATTTTTGGGTTATCGATGCTTAAATGATAAGATAAAAAAAAAATCTAACAATCCATTATCATTGTAAAAATTTGTTCATAGTTTTAGATTTTGACAAAAAGCATCTTATCTAAAGTTGCTGAGCAGTTCACATACTTTCTTTGAAAGTCCAAACTTGCCTATATTTTGTTTATGAGTAGTTCTTAGCCTACACGTGATCAAAAACATATACTTGTATAAACCTGCCCATAGGCAACATAAATTAGCCTAGATTTTGACTCATTGAGACATTAAATGTAATTCAATTAAAATCTTCTTCTAATTTTAGGTTATAACAAGTTGTGATGGATTATTCTTTTGATTTAAAAGTTAATAATTCAAAAATATTGTATCAATTAAAAGTTTAGGAAAACAATTATTTAAAAGTTTAGGATAACAATCACTCCATCAGATAAACTTGCAAAGCATATTTTCCCTTTAACATTCAAAATGTCAATCAACGTTTGTCAAATGTCTGTAGGGCAACGCCAGTTTTTAAATTTACATTGCACTAATAAAAAATTATAGATGGCAGTTGCATCTGGTGAAAAAATTAGAGGACAAATTTTGTCCTTTAACCGAAAAATAAATGTATGCATGGGGAGATACAAAAAAAATTTCAATTTCAGACTTGAACTATTGAATGAAAATATTAAAGTTGGGTTGGAATATGGGGAGATACAATCGGAAAATAAAATAACCAATTGACTTGAAAATTTTTGCAGAGAATGGAAGTTAAATCTCAAAAAAATTAAATAATTAATGATAGTCAAGCGGTCGTTCACAATTTTTTTCTAAAAATAAGTTAAAAATATTGATCTAAATTATTACAAATTCAGAAGTTTCAAT